TATATGATTCACTAATAAATTGTGTTCAGATGAAATTCTAAATGTTGGCCCAACTGCAAACGTGTGTGTGTGTGTGCATGCGGAGCAACTCTTTTTTTTGAAGAACGTTGTGATGAGGAGGTATGCACTAATAAAGTGAATAATTTTCAAATAGAGGAATGATTCATGACCAACACAAACGTGATTAAGTTTTTTTGTTATTCTACCGCCAACATTTTTTTTCGTCCCCGTGAATTGATCTCTGTCTTGTTTAGAATTAAGTGAAGAAACTCTTTTCACCATTGCCGAATAATGGCACCACCGCGTAGAGGCAAACAGAAGGATGATCAGCCGGTCGTTTCGCTTGCCCCAGAAACCGATGAAAAGCAAGACTTGTTTGGTGTAGCGCACATTTTTGCGTCTTTCAACGACACCTTCGTGCATATCACCGACCTTTCCGGTAATTGTGATTTGTGCTTCGTTAACATTTTAATTTATAGCTAAAATTTAAAATATAAACATTTAAATCTTCTTGGTGAAATGCGATCGCATGACACCTTTTTTTGCATGAAGGTTTTTGAATGTTTCAGATAAAAATTTACAGATGATCCCCAATTTACGTATGACTTACGTTCCGAAAACGAAGAATTAATCTTTACTAATCAGAATTTCACGTGAGTCAGGTTTAACCTCTCCCCCTCCACATCAGTTGATTTCCCTATTGCGTTCTTCTTTATAGTACGATTATACAATAGTATATTAACATGTTTATTCTTGAAGTTATCTCTGTTAGTATCGTTCACAGGATGCACACATAAATTAGATTTTAATGTGTAATTATTTTTACAAAATAACGTAATCCAGCATTAATATAACGAAAATAAAAAGATACTTAATTTTAAAGTTTGAGTTTTACCTTTCGTATTTGATTACCAAGAGATCACTGAACAGTGGCAAAAATGGGGATTCTTTCACACGTTCCTTTGTACTGGCTGCATCTTTCACAGCTCTGTTCGCTGTTGACGGTGTGCGACTACGATCATGTCACATGGCTGTTGATTTTTATCTTATTTATTCATAATTTTAATCTCTAGATTAATGCTTGGGTTCACTACTTCCACTTCTGTTCCTTTTTCCAGTCATGA